GTGATTACCCTCTTTTCGTGTCTGCTCTTCAAATCGTTCTTTCTTTCCTGAGGAACATTGTTCTTTTTCACTTTGTATACACGTCTTGCAACTCAAATCAGCAGCTACCTAGAGTTGATCAGAAGAAAAGAATGGAAAAAATAGAAATGTATCAATAAGTAATGGAACAGGAAGTGTAGAGTAATGGAAGTTTACCTCTGCTAATTCAGCTACTTTTGTCTGCAGATCGTAATTTTGCTGAAATAACTAAAGAAAAATTATAAAGCATTTTGATGGAAAAATTAAAATACTAACTTCATCATTTATATTCCTAAATTTGTTCAGTTCTTTCTCATGATTTTCTTTCAAAATTTTCACATCATTCTGCCAATTGTTAACAATAGAATGCTGTTCTTTCATTGTTGCATTTGTGCGTTTTAGAGCATCTAAGAGGTATACATTGAATGAAAAAGTAATTTGAATAAAATGAAATTTAAATAATTATTATTTTACCTTTCAAATCATTGCGCTCTTTGATAAGATTTTCCAATTTTTTTACTTCTTCTTTTTGATTTGAATTAATAATGCCAAGGCTTGGTAAGTAACTCTGTTTGTGAAAATTTATAACCAAAATAGATATATTTATAGATTATCATTATTTATTTCAATTTTTTACCTTTATCTTATCACAATCGATGTCACCTAAAAGAAAGAGCTGAGCCAATGTTGATGTTTTTGGTGGTGGTGGTGTTTCATGTGATAGAGATGATTTGCATGAATCATTTTTTGATGTATGATTTGGTTTTGTAGATGTTTCATGAAACTTATGTTTTAGATCCTCAACAATATCCACGCTATCCAAAACACTATACTGCAACATGGATGGAGTTTCATCGAGTACAATAAATGATTCTTCAATATTCATTGTATTTTTTTATTATCACGTATCAAATAAACGATGTACTATTTGGGTATAAAATAAAAGTTTAAAGTCCTTATTGAACGTCAACCTACGATACGAGGAGTATTTCTAAGAAAGTGAGATAATAACAAACAAAACATCTGTCATATGATATTGACAGATTCCCTCCCACATCACACAATTGTGAGAAAAACTCAATATGTGCGCGTTAAGTTTCATGATTGAAAATAAATGCAATAAATTATTTTGAAATGCAAATAAAAAATACACAATATCGTAGATGCTTTCATTAAATTTTCTGCATTTTTTTTTCTTGAACGCTTGAATGTAATCTATATTATAAAAACGAAATGCCATTCTTTTGTCCTTAACTCCTCTCACAATTTTCAACCGATCTGAACCAAACTTTACACCCTTATACTTTGGACCGAGATCTAGGTCACCATGAGGTTTTGGACCAAATTGGACTACTCCATCACGGTCGATTTTTATTTTTCAAATATTTGCATGGGCGATGTCAAAATTTGTAAATTTCATGATCAAATTCGGATTCCTCGGCCCAAAATTATGGGAGAGGGGTACTTTTGAAGGTGGTTTAACAGCCATCGTTGTCTAATATGAGTTAAAACGTTTTATCACCGTTATCATGTTTTAACAACTTTTAACATCTTTTAACACGGTAAATGAGGTCAGAAGCATGGTCCATCATAGTCTAACACGATTTAACACGGTAAATGAGGTTGGAAATCATGGAACATCATGGCCAAACAACATTTATCACGGTTATTGAGGTCGGACAACATGGTAAATCATGGCCTAACAACATTTAACACGGTTATTGAGGTGGAAAATCATGGTACATCATGTTCTAACACGATTTAACACGGTTATTGAGGTGGGACAACATGGTACACTATGGTCCAACACGATTTAACACGGTAAATGAGGTGGGAAATCATGGAACATCATGGTCTAACAACATTTAACACGGTAAATGAGGTTGGAAATCATGGAACATCATGGCCTAACAACATTTAACGCGGTTATTGATGTGGGACAACATGGTACATCATGGTCTAACACGATTTAACACGGTAAATGAAGTTGGAAATCATGGTACATCATGGCCTAACAATATTAACAATATTTAACACGGTTATTGATGTGGGACAACATGGTACATCATGGTCTAACAAAATTTAATACGGCTATTGAGGTCGGACAACATGGTCCATGACTTAAAATTGATATTAATATTGAATGAACAAAATTTAATAAAGTCAAAATCTATAGAGATAGTAATTTCAGAGATAGGAATTATAATAACATGCCTAGCCGAGCGAGCGAAGCGAGCGGAGGCCGGCTAGTATTCTAAACAGGGCAACCATCCCCAGTTCAATCGGTGAGTAACACTATGGGAGCATTACTGGTAAGTGATTTTGGTGACGTGGAAAAAATTCTTAGAACAAAAGTTTCTCATCTTGACATCCTCTATCGACCCACCCTATTAGTTAGTCATGAACTAACTCGAACTGCTCCTGAAAAGGTAACTAAGCGTTTCTGAATACCTTTTCTATAGAAGCATCAAAAGTGCGATTGAATGAAACAAAATGCAACAACCCCGAATTTACTAATATTGAAAGTAGTAAATTATCAAATTTATTAACCTAAATACATCACATTAAGCATAAAAATAATCATACAAAACACATGACATGTGATCGAATATCCGGAGCGGTATGCATCGGCAACTTGAATTGGTGAGTTTATAGTGATCACTTCACTGACCGTCCTCAAGAGTGGAAAAGTTTTTTCTTCCCTTTCTGATGCATAGAATGTAATGTTTTTTGAAGGATTAAAGTGAACGAATGTATCTTGATCCATTTCACATTCACCATCAATGTCGTCCATACTAATTAGGTTAATCCTAATGCCAGCCAAATTGCGATCCAATGCAAATGTCACTTTATTGCTTATTGAACGTCTGTTATCAAATACGACCACATATATGTCGCCTGTAGCCTTGTCTTCGCGCCT